GCTTCAGCTTGTGCTAGAATTCCTTTCCCTAGAATCACTCCTGAGGCACAGCAGCCGCAGTGGGTCTGCCTTGCTGCATATCTGGTTTCTGCCGACAGCTAGGCTATTTCAAATGAGCAGTCCCCAGAAGAGATGAAGGGGTGTCTGGTGCCTTGTGAGCATGCTCTCTCAACAGCAGTGTAATACCGGTGAGCATCGTTCCTACTTCTGCCAGAAATGAAAAAAAAAAAAAAATTAGCATTAAGTAGCGTCTTTTGCATTTGAGATCGCTGCAGCTTTCGGGCTCCTGTTACCCCAATTATGTAAAGCCTTTGGCGAGGGGCTGGCAGATCACAGTGCATTGCTTCAGCTTGTGCTAGAATTCCTTTCCCTAGAATCACTCCTGAGGCACAGCAGCCGCAGTGGGTCTGCCTTGCTGCATATCTGGTTTCTGACGATGGCCAGCAGCCATAGCTTTAGGAAAGGTGGTATAGAAACTAGGGCGGTATAGTCTGATCTTCTCCTGCGCTGAGTCATCACTCTGATTTATATTAAAGCAGTGACTGTGAAGCTTTCCTCCTTTGCTCATGCGACGCAGTTCATTTGAGGTGAACGCAGTGATGCCCAAAGGAGTCTCTCAGCCCCTGCTTCACATGGATCATATCTCAGATCAAAGGAGCAAAACTTCATGCTTTAAGAAACCCTATTTCTGTGGTCTCCTGAGAAGTTGAGCAACCACTGGAATTTGTCTTGGAGTTTTACTAAAAAAGTAGTTGGTCTGTCTGTCTATCTCAGCATCTGTAGGATTCTTTCTAATTGGCAAGACTGTTTTTCTTAGCCCTTCCTACGTTGAAAGCATTTAAGTGTAGTAATTTCACTACACTCCTTTAGGAAAGACAAATATTGTTACATGATAGGGAAAGCAAAGCACAGAAATTGTGACTTGAAGGGCTCTGAATCACAAGTGGCATGGAAGAATGTCTCAGCCCTATTCAGAGACTTTGTCCCTCGGGTTTTTCTTATTTTTCCAAAGCTTGTTTATCTGACACTGATATGTTTTTGAAGGATTGCATACAGAAGCTTCCATTGCTCTTCAATTCTAGACTGCGTAGAAGCTTTTGCCTTTTATGTACGCCGTTGCAGTCTCTGCAGCTCAACCAGCAGACTTCTTACCAGAACCAGAACAGGAAAAATGACCCTAAATAACTCAGTATTTTTAATGGGAAGGCAGAAGAAGCTATTGTCACAGAAACAGAATGCCTAAGTGGGGAAGAGAATGTAAATGTTACACCTCTAAGGCCCGTCTTCGCTAACGGGAAAAGTGTGCTTTTAGATGTGTTAGCTCATCCTTTAAATATCCCTCTATAAACAAGGAGAGTTTTATTTTTAGCGTAATTGCTGGTTGAAGTGGATCCTCGATCCTCTATTCCCTCTCCCTTCTCCCCGTTACTATGCACTAGAGGTGTTTTTAATAGATGAACTGTAATATGTTTAGTGATATTTCAAACACGTTTCCTTCTCTTCCCCTCTCCTCCCCGCTGTAGTGTAGACGTACTGTAAGGCGACCTTGCTAACTATTTTAGTACTTTATCTTCCCCTGTATATCTGCACAATGTCCCTTTTAGCATATTAGTTGGAAGCAGATGCATCATGGTCTCTTGCTGCGAGGCGATAGAGCACCTCTCTTAGCTGTGACCCTGCAAGCCAGCGGTAGCGCTGGCCAGCTTTGTGATCCTGAAGGGCCTCCGGGTCAGGGCACGTAGTATCTTTTCGGCCAGATGTGGCATATCTCCCTTGAACAGCATGCAGTGGAGGGGCCATGTGACGGGGTTAAATTTGGGGAAGGCAGCGTAACAGGTTTGTCAGCTCGCTGGGCTGAGGGCTGTTCCTCATCATTTACTTTGTTCTGTGTGCCGAAGCAGGTCAGCCAAAGTGTATCGCAGGCTGTGACGGGTGGGAGAGCCCTCGATGGCAGGGGGTGTGTGCCCTTCCCGGTTAGGACAGCTCTGGGTCAGTTCAGTCTTACCAAATGAAAACGCTCAAGACTCCCCGAAAGTGCCAAATGGGCTTGAAACACAAGTTATTGAAAACAATGAGTTTGTGATTCCCTTTTTGTTTTGCTTTGTTACTTCTGGTTTTCATTCCTGTAGGTTAGGCTGGATCATGTGTTTTACTTTGTGAAGGTTTGCATCTCTTTGTTTTCTCCAGACTCTGAGCTCTTTTGTATTCAAATGACCCCAGATCCTAGACATTTAAGGGGGCGGGTGGGGAAAGCCAGTGATCCTGAAAGCAGGCGGTGACAAGCGTCCTATTCTGGGGCAGGCAGTCTGCTGCGCTGGGACTGGCTTTGCTCTTCCGCGCCTGAAGATCCCCTAGAAGCTTTCTCTGCAGCCCTTAGCGGAGCCATATACAGACACTTAAATCCTCTTAGCCTTGTGCATATTGCTGCTGTGCTGTAGCTGTAGCAGGCTCTTAATAAGCCTGCGTGATGAATGATGCAATTCATATCCTCTCTTGCCTGTATGTGCTCTGAGTCACCAGGAAGTCCTGTCACTCCGTAGTGCTCACCAAACAGTAACTAACCGTAATCATTGCCATCAGACCCAGATGCTGGTGTCCCTGGAGAGCTCCGGAGAGCCGGTCACTGGGTGCTTCCAAGCATATCCATGTTTGTGTGTTCCGCGAAAGCTATTCCCAGCTCTGGTATGGGCTATGCTATGATTCCCTCAAGTGAACACAATTACTTTCTCATGAGCAAGACAGGATGCAGGGCTGGAATGAGCCAATAAGATCATCTCAAATATCAAAATACTCATTCTCCCTTTTCTTCTCCTATAGTTTTATTTTTCAATTTGCAGTTTATTGTGCTGATTCCACTTTTGCCCTTGCTGCTCTAGGCAGGGTTGTGAGAATACAGGAAAGTGCCTTTGCTGGGAGCTAATTTGGTGCGAGCAGGTCCAGTCCAGAACCCTTGTGGCTTTTTGGCCCAGCCAAGGTGCTGCCAAGGGAGGCCAGTGTGGACAAACCTGGCCCCCAAGCCACCCTAACCCTGTAGGTGGGAAGGGGAGGGATCTAAGCCAAAGTTTTGAGAAGCTGTATTTGGCCCTGGTGGTGGCAGCGGGGTCCTGCAAAGACGAGTAGTAGGATGTGGGAGTGAGCCTTTGCTGCAAGGGCAGAGGCTGGCGTGAAAAGGAAACGGGTAGTAAGAGTGCGAAGGAATGTAGCAACCGGATTTTATTCTAACGTATCCCAGAACATAGAGCAGCCCTGGTTGCCTAGCTCAGTCCTCTGCCAGCTTTAGAAAAACTTGCCTGGCTCCTGCAGAGTAAAAATACCAGCTGCAAACGGAGTGGGAAAGGCTCAGAGCCCACAGGGAAAAGCCTAAAGAGAAAAGGTTTGAGGTCTACTCCTCCCTGAGCTGCTCGGTGACTGGTTGGCTCTGGGGGCTGGTTGTGGGCAGCCGGGGTTGCAAGCTGCTGGGCTGGTGAAGCGTGGGAGTCAGGGGTGGCTTAGCATAGGGGAGAGGAGGAGGAGGAGGAGGAGGGCAGGGAGTCCAGCCATGGAGCATGTCATGCTCTATGTGACGTTTGCCTCTCTCTTAAACATGCACTCCTTGTTCAGCTTTTGAACCAGTTCTTGAACTAGATCTGAAAGAAGAGCGTAAGTCCCAAAGGGAATTGCCTTTTTAGGAGTTTTGTGAGTAGTGCTGGGTGTGAGGGAGAAACCTATGTTACTGCAGGTGAAGCTCAGCCAGTAAGGGCTCCGTCTGGGGCCAGCTCACAGGACAGGCAGCAACTTCATGACTTTAGACGAGCCCTTGTTCATGCTGTTTGTTGCCTCATGGGAGCACCGTGCTGAATAGCGCGGGGAGCTGGTGCTGCAGGGGAGGGTTATGGGGGCATAGGGCAAGAAAACGTAGGGAATGAGGTTTCACTAGTTGCATTAATCACAGAGCAACTCGGTAA